CCAGACATGCAGAAATCCGGACATTCCAGGAATTCAGAAATCCTCCGCGCTGTCGTGTACGATGATATGTCGAGCAATGCAATCTGCTTCTTGTAAACGGACATGCGATCATACATTTGCCCATGCTGTGGTACGTTTTATTTACTGTCGTAATATCTGCTTCAAGGCACTGTCATATAGCATACAATGATATCCGAGAGTGCGCTGCCATTATGATGTGGTGTATTCTGGTATGGCTTCTTTATGTTTATAGTACATCGCATCGTAGTATACCACACAAGACGCTGTACTATGGTATGTACGACGCCTTCACACTTTCTTCGGCTGCCAGTCTCGTTACGGATGAGGAAGAGTCTGATGATGCCGGTGATGATGACGCTGATGGTGAGGAGGGTGGCCCAGTCGTCGTTGGCTTCCTCCTCCTCCTCCTCCTCCTGCGCTTCCTTCTCCCCCTCCTTCCCCTTCTGCTTCGTTCCCTCCTCATCCGGTGTCTCCTCCCCTCTCCTCGCCCCTCCTGGTTCCTGATCATCCTCTCTCTCTCTCTCTCTCTCTCTTTCTGTGTTTTTTTCCTCTCTCTCTCTTTGTCTCTCTCTCTCTCTCCTCTCCTCTCGTCTTGACCCCTTCCCCAAGGGTTGGCTTTTCATCATGAGCCGTTCCCTGACTGCCCCGAGGCCCCGTGAGGCCCCCCGGGAGACAAATTGCAACACGCCTTCCGTGGCGATGGTTGTCCACGGCGCGAGAGGGTCTGGGTGCCCCGTGCTCCCCTCGGTACCCCCCCCCTGAGCCAGTCCCCCCCCACAGCGCTGCCCTTCATCGCTTTTCCAGGCCACCCCCCTCCCGTCAGGTCATCGCGCTCCAGCAGCAGGTGTCTTCCATGGGCACGCCCGTCATGGCGGGGCCCGGGGTGGGGGTTGCGGGCCCACGCTGCGGCTTCTTTGCGCGCTCTGGCTGCAGGGAGGAGGAGGAGGAGGAGGAGGAGGAGGAGGAGGAGGAGGAGGAGGAGGAGGAGGGGAGGACTGAGACGGAGGAGACGGAGGAGACGGAGGAGACGGAGGAGACGGAGGAGACGGAGGAGACGGAGGAGGAGGAGGAGGAGGAGGAGGAGGAGGAGGAGGAGGAGGAGGAGGAGGAGGAGGAGGAGGGAGGAGGAGGAGGAGGAGGAGGAGGAGGAGGAGGAGGAGGAGGAGGAGGAGGAGGAGGAGGAGGGGGAGGGGGAGGGGGAGGGGGAGGGGGAGGGGGAGGGGGAGGGGGAGGGGGAGGGGGAGGGGGAGGGGGAGGGGGAGGAGGGGCATGGCGCAGCCCATGGCGCACACTGTGGCGCAAATTGTGGCGCACATACTGGGGCAACGGACGACTTGGTTGCTCGCGGGAAGTCTGGCGTAGCCTGCGGCGCAACCTGTGGCAGACAGATGATCCGGCTGTCCGCGGAGTGAGGCAACAACCGATATGGTTGTCCGTGGGGTGTCTGGCACAACCTCTGGCACAACCTGCAAATCAAATGAGGCAATGGACGATCCTGTTGCCCGCGGAGTGTTTGGCGCAGTCCATGGCGCAACCCACAGCAAACCCAGTGAGGCAAGGGGTGATTCAGTTTACCGCGGGGTGTCTGGCCTAACTTCTGGCGCAATATGTGGCGCACCCACTGAGGCACCGACCGACATGGTTGCTCGAGGGGTCAGGTGCAATCTATGGGGTAACCTATGCGGTGGGTTTGATCCGTACTTTCTTCCCTCCCTCCCTCCTTCCCTCCCTCCCCTCTGCCCTGGCCTTCCACTCCCCTCCGCGCGCACCGCGGGCTTAGGGCCCGCACTCCCTTCTTGCTTCGGGGGCGGCGGGATAAGAGCTGCCTCCAATGGCGGCGGCCCTCCGCGGGGCAGCTCCTAAATCGCATGGATGGCTGCTGGCGTGGCCGCCCAGGCCGTTGTTGAAGCGAGACGTCGTCCTGCTGTGTGCGCCGCGGCCCCAGCCCGTCGGGGCTCCGGCAGTGCACCCTGCCGTCGCCAGGCACGCCGCAGAGCGCGCTGCGGATCCCGTGCCGCGGGCGACGCCGCGCGATCGTCGCGCGCGTCTCGTGCGGTCTCGCTCACCGCGCGGGCGCGCGAGAGGCTGTGTGCGCTCGGCGACCCAGATGTCCACCGAATACCGCGCGCGCTCCTCCCGCTCCCTCCGTCTTTTCTCTCTCTGCCCTCCGTCCTCCCCTCTACGCCCTCCGCCTTCCGCCTTCCCCCCTCCTTCTTCCTCCTCGCTCCTCCTTCCCATTCCTTCCAAAGGAGGCCCGCTCCTCCTCCACCTCCTCCTCTTCTTCCTCCTCTTCCTCCTCCTCCTCCTCCTCGTCCTCCTCGCGCTCCCCCTCTTCTTCTTCTTCTTCTTCTCCTCCTCATTCTTCTTCTTCACCTTCTTCCTCCTCCTCCTCCTCCTTCTTCTCCTCGTCCTCCTCTTCTTCCTCCTTCTCCTCCTCGCCCTCCTCCTCTTCTTCCTCCTCCTGCTCCTCTTCCTCTTCCTCCTCCTTCTCCTCCTCCTTCTCCTCCTCCTCTTCCATCCTCCCCCTCTGCTGTCCGCTCCCCCCCCTTCCCGCCCCGCCCCCCTCCCCCCCTGTCTCCTCTCCAGTCCCCGCCCCCCTCGGTCCCCCACTCCTCCCCCCTCTCCCTCTCCTCCTCCTTTCCCCCCCCCCACTCTGCCCTCGGGGCTCCGGCGCGCCAGGGGGCGAGCACGGCGGCGGCCATGCCAGAGGAGCTGGAGAGGCTCCGCGCGGAGGCGGCGCCGCGCCCTCTCCCCCCCTCCTCCTCTCGTCGCGCCCAGCACCCGGGGCGTCAGGGTCGCGGGGGGGGGGCGAGGGAGAACAGGAACGGGAGGCGTTTTTTTTTGACCGCCCGTCGGGGGCAGCGAGTGGCTTCCCGCCCGACCGGCCGTTGCTCCAGCGAGCCGCATTTGCTGGGAAGCGGTTCAGGGCTTGAGGAGCGCCGCAGGGGTTGCGAGGTGGAGCGAGCCGCTGGAGAGGCGTCCGAGTGACGAACACCAACCGCGTGTGAGACCTGAGAGCCACAGGGGTGGCGGAAAAGGCGAAAGCCTGGGAGAGGGTGGGGCGCCTCAGGAAAACCACACCCTAAAACCTCCCAGGGCCCAAAGAGCAACGCTAGGGGGCAGGATTCGGACCAGAACGCGCCGCACCTGCCCCTCTCTGGCGGGGCTCCAAGCCACGGGTGATTCTGTCAATCGCCGTGTGCTGGTTAGCCCGAGTCTTTGGATTCTCCGAAAACCCTTGGCACAACGCCCGCAGTTTGCGGGCGGACCTGAAGGATTCGGACCCGTTGAAATTGCCCCCGCACTTGCGGCAGCAATAAACGGCATTCACACAGAAAACGTCATGCCCCAATTCAGCGAATTCGGCAAGCACTGGTTGAGGAGCGTCGGCAGAGCCACTGGCAGCATTCGCCTGCTCCAGCGGCTGAGGAGGGACCGCGCCCTGTCCCGAGGAGGGCTCCCGAAGCCCAGGCGTGGACCCCAAAATCCTATCAGCCGCCTCGAGGGCAGCCATGACTCTAGAGTCCGAAATACTAAGCCACGCCTCAGAACTCCGCAGGAAGAAGTCATCGGCCAAGCTCTGGACCAGAGGCGTGGGAGCACACACTCGATCAGCTCCTGAGCGAAGAGTATGGAGGGTACTCGCACTACGAGCGACTCGATTGCACCGACGACACCGATACTCAGACAACCTCTGGCAGAAAAACAACACATGGTCCTGGGGCCTCTCGAAGACCACACGCTTGGGCACCTGGGCGAGCTCAGGGTCCCGCTCCGCGATAGGATCCGTTCCCCACTTACGAAACTGAACCACCTGGAAGACCGCCCACGACACATAATGCAAGACCTGCTTGTGCTGCGTCAGCGCAGCGGCCAAACTATCAGCCACCGTTTTAGACACCATGTGTGCAGCACTGCCACACTTCGCGAAGAAGTCGGCCCAGGCATTGCCGACGAAGGCCTCCAGCTCGTCTGGCGTGGCCCACTCGATGATGTCCTCCAGCTTCCTGTGAGCTGGAGTCCACTGAAACCGCACTGGTGGCAGACGTGGATCACGTGCTCTGGCAGCAGAAAGAATGTCTCTCCAGACTCGGGCGTGCTTCGCTTTGCCAAACTCGAGCTTCTGGTCCCAGGACGTGCCCTCCTCAACGAGCGATTTCAGATCTGAAATGAAAACCTCATGTCCTGGATGCTTCTGAAGTCCCATCTTGATGGCATAGCGCTCAGCACGGCCTACCGTCTGCACATAGTAGGGCAAGGGCCCATATACAGCTCTGGCGGGGAGCCACGTGACGGGGTCCAACTGGCAGACCGACCAACCGCACCTACGTACTTCAGGAATGCTGGCCGAGAACCCAGACCCATCAGTATAAGATGTAGGCCCCCAGGAGCCTGAGACATCTCCCCACTCAAAAACTTCATTGGAGACCGTAGTGTAGTGCGGCACAGCCACAGGCTCAGGAACCCCATAGATCAGGTACCTCTGGTCCCAGTCAGTGCACCCCAGCAGCTGCCCAGACGCCTGAAGCATGTCTCGAACCTCCTGAAGCTGTTCTGGAAACTCATAATATTCCTGGTCGGGATTCCCTTCGAGGAGCGGCGGGCAGTCGTAAAATATATGACCCCAACAGGAGTCGATAGCCTTGCCGCAGGCCTGACAAGGCCTAATGGGCCTCCCGTGCTTCATGTCCCGACGCGGTGGGATGGGAAGATTGTCTGCCCACAAAGCCTGCAGCGCTCCGAGGCGCCGGTGACACTTTATCTTGGCGAGCGAGTGGCGTAGCGCACGATGCCACACATCCGCCTGCTCGGTGTAAAAATGCTGCTGCAACCTATGGTGCTGCCAGCGCTGGATGCCCTGATGCAGGAACACACGCAGGTCTGCTGGACATATACGATATAAATCAAAACTATTTCCCAAATCGTCGACCAGGATGTGCTCAGACGACATAGTCCAGGAGATACGCCTCAAAGTAAGCCAAGTGGCCCCGAGGGGCCCTCGCGCTTTAGACCAGGACGGTGAACTCCCAAACTTAGCACCCAGACTGACCCAAGCCTCCCGAAGTCTGCTAGGTTGTACTCGCCCGTCCCAGATCCAGGAAGCATATTTGAGCACAGTGTCCGTGGTGGCGTTATATATGGGGTCGTAGCATTCATCCCGATGAGATATAAGATACGCTGTTACCCCAACCATCGTCTTACCTGGAGCACCATTTAGGACCGCAGCACAATGTCGCAACTCACGAAGGGCGCTATCACTAACTCCAGCAACTGCTCCGCAATGCGCCACTGATGGAAGGGCGCCCGTGCGCCACAGGCTGGTAGCACTCCGCCCCACGGCGGACTTCAACATGCGAAAACGATGCTTGCGCTCACGAAACTGCACCAGCCTACGCTTCTCCATACGCCGAAGAACTCGAGGTCCTGTGAGCTCGTGTCCCAGATTCCTCATGTGGGCCCTGTACGGGATCTTCAAGGTTCCCAAGTGCCTCTTGAGCTGCCCCCAAACCTTGTGGGACCCAGGGATACATCCAGACTTCGGCGGCTTCAGGACCATCCCAAGATCACCAGCATCAGCCGTGAACGCCTTGGCCGCTCGGGCCAGGTTGGACACCTCCCGCAAGACGGGCGACACGTACTGCAGGCCCACATCGTCCATGAGCGTGCGTGGCGTGATAGTAGGTGCAGTACTAGCCGTGCGCTGGACCGCTCGGTACGCGAGGAGATATAAAAGATAAGTGGCGTGCGTGCAGCCCGCAAGAATACCCCGATGGGCCACCAAGGGCCTGGAGACGGACCCAAAACACTTGATCCTTCTCGGCTGGCGGTAGGAGCCCAGGAGCAACCACAGGAGCCTCAGCGGGTACCCGAGCTCTCTGGCTTCTCGGAGAAGTGCACTGTGACTGACCATATCGAAGCACTTGGTCATGTCCAAGAGAATGGTGCAGGTGTGTTCACCTAAGAGTTCTCTTATCTCCTGGCTCAGGTTGTGGTCGAAGGCTGAATCGGTCGAAGTCTGCCCAGCCCTGTACCCCCACATATGTTCACAATTGTGAGCCTCTTGCCACTCCGCTGAAAGCGGCCGGCGAAGCTTTCCCCACAACCGGACGAAAGTGTTGCTGAGGATGATCAACCTAGTGTCCCCGTCAGGCTTGGGCAAGCGAACAAGCTCGCTGTAGAGCCTGTCAGTAGGCCAGGCCAGCCAACTCTCAAACTGCATGAACATGTCAGCCAGGCACTGCAAGGCCTGGTCGGACAGCACATCGAGCGTGCGTGGCGCGATCCTCGTCTGGCCCGAGGCCGTCTTCAATGGAAAGCTTCTGATGGCTCCTCGCACCTGCGATGCAGACAAAGGCGGAAGCAGAGGCCACTGAGCATGATCAGAAGGCAGCGGCAGAGGGCATGCACCGTGGTACGTCCAAACGTCCCTCCACTTGTCGAGCGTACGGTCCGCCATCTGATATGGCTGAGCGTCAGGGGAGTAGGCGAGCACCTCCTGTCGAGCCCGAACTTTGGAGGACGAATGCGCCCGAGATGCTCCTCCCAAGAAGGCTTCCTTGGCCCACTGCCGCCAAGCCTTCTCCGACGCTCTTTGCGCCGTGCTCAGATGATATTCAGCTCTGGCAATGATGGCATTTGCTACCTCCCCAAAGTCAGCCTCGACCAAGCCAGTCAGCCCTCGCCGAAAGAAACCTGCGAAGGCACTGTCCAGGACACACAGCACCTGCTCTGACCGAGCCACGCGCCCATAAAAGGCAGCCGCCTCATTGAAGGCCACGACGACCTTGGTGTACTGCAGCGGCGTGATGGCACAAATGAGGGCGCACAGCTTGAGGCGCTCGATGCACCTCACAAGCCGCTTCTTCTCGGCCACAAGGTGCTGGGCCCAGCGCCTCGCCGTAGCCCAAGCCAGCACAGTCGGCTCTTTGTAGGTACGCCTGCGCGGCGGCTGCCATGACAGGAGCTGCCACTTGAACTGCGGCGGCCCCTCGCGTCCGATGTACTGCATGGCCTTGGCGCCTACGCAGTCGTGACGCCCTGCCAGCTCGTAGTCCACCCCGCGCAGCACAGAGTCCCAGAGCGAGCTCAGGTCGTCGACACTGCTGACCCGTTGGAACTCTGTCTGGATCATATGCCACGGGTAGGGATGCCTGGCGCAGCCGACGGGCGGCACCACCGCAAAAGGGCGCGGCTCCACAGGGACGCGGCACCACGTGGGGCGATCCTCGCCCGCGAGCTGCAGCTCCACAGGGAAGTGCGGCGGCGGCACGACCGTGGAGTCATGCTGGACCTCGGGCTTGCCCTTGATGCGAGACGCTAAGTTGGCACAGACGACAAAATAGTATATGGTGCTCTTGCCCTCGTCAGTGATGCAGGCGTGCTGGTCGGGCACGTAGTGGATGGCTGCCATGGTCTCGACCCAGTTGCGAACATTGAGCGCATCGAAATCGGCGTTCCAGTCACCGCCTAGAATCCAGTCGAGGCCCCGAGAGTTCCATGCTGCCACTCTCTGGGCCAAGGCCCACAGCACCTCAATGTTTTCGCCTGAGATGCCAATGGACGTGACGAGGTAAACGCTGGCGACTATGATACCGCCAGCAACTCCCCAGTTAATCTGTGCACAGACTGCTCGTCCTGGATAGATAATGTGCCCGTCGTCAGGTGGGGCCGTGACCATAATGTACGTCGGCACGAGTACAGCGACCCCTCCGAAGTTGGACGTAGCAGAGTCACCCGTTGGGGGCGACGGGGCCCATAGCCCATGCCATCCAGCGTCCAAGGCCCCGGCCTGAAACTCGCCGAGCCTAGGTTGGGTAATTCTCAACTCCTGAGCCAGCAAGATAGTTCCCCGATAAGTAGCCAAAAAGTCGAAGAAAGGGCCGTAGCTCGTAGCGTTCACCGTTGTGATGAGGCCTTTGAGCTGCGGCTGAGATTCTGCATGCATTGGCTGCGCCTTCACCTCCGTGCGCTCTGGCGGCAAAGGCGAAGTTGGTGCAGCCCGTTCTTGACATGATTTCTCGAAGCGGAATCGGGAATAAGGTGGGGACGAAGATGGCGCATCCTGAAATGCGCCTGCACACAGATCTGCTTCCATATCAGGCTCGACGTCCTGAAAGAAGTCATAATCATCGTCCAAGGTAGTACGCACAGGGCCGCTCTGGCCCGAGGACGCCCCTGGCAGTCGGCACCCTCTGCCGCCTGGATTCTCCGAGGGCAAGGGCGGTGAGCGGTGCTTGCCATCCGAAGACGGTCGGTGCCCTCTGCCGCCGCTCCCCGAAGATGGGGTCGGTGAGCAGTGCGTGCTGCCAGGGGCCAACCGCGTAGGCGTAGGCGGAGTAGCCCTCTGTGATGCCGTAGACGCCAAGGACCCAGCTGCGGGCGCAACCGACGTAGGCGGAGCCGCAGTCAAGGTCGGAGCTGCCCCCCACCCCGAAGAGCGGGCCAGTGGGGGAAGTAATGTAGGCGCCGTAGTCCCAGCCGAGGTCCTGGTACTGGAAGCCGTTGTGGGCAGGGAGGTGTGACGATGAGGGGCTGAATCCCTCTCCCCCCTGCCCAGGGTACACGCCGCCGTCGAAGATGACGAAGGCGCACTGTCAACATGTTGCGCTGATGTAGAGCTAGCCATGGTGACAAATAGCCAAAGCAACAGCAAACCAGGCCGAGCACGTTCACGCGGACGTCTTGGCCTTCTTGGCCACAGTGTCCAGGTAACTCTGTTGGGGACGCTTGAACTTCTCGCGCACGATGTCGGGGGTGTCGCTCTCCTCGACGTGGGCGCCTGCTGCGCCCAAAGTCTCGCGGCAATCCTGCCCAGACATCTCAATGTCAGGTGGCTCAGCACTAGCTTCAGCACCACCAGCATGAGCAGGTGCAGGTTCAGGCGGCTTGGCCTGGGGCAGGCTCTGCAGCTTACTGACCGTGTCGGCCATGTCCTGCAGCTCCTTGACCATGTCGGCGCCGAGACCGAGGCCTGTTGCAACCTTGCCCAGCTGCTCCACACTGACCGCGAAGGTAGGCAACAAGTCCGCAAGCGACGGTGGCTGCGTGCCCTCGGGCGGCTGGACTCGCGACATGGCGGTGCGGGTCTGCTGCTCCAGGCGGAGGACCTCCGCAGTGGCCTCTTGCAGCTTGGAGTCCGTGTCGGCCAGGCCGCGAGTGAGCTCGGCAATCTTCTTCTGCTGCTCATCGCGGGTGGCCTGAATGGTAGCCTGTCGCGAACGGGCGGAAGACAGCCTTGACGCCAAGGGCCTGGCCTGATGCTCGATGGGCCTGTCTTGAAAGAGCTCGGCGTCCAGCTTCGCCCGCTCCTCGCGCCATTTGGCCACAGTATCAGCATCAGCAGGGTCAGTAGTGACACGAAGCAACTGATCCAGCATCTTGATCCGATTCCGCTTGACGGTGTCGGCATCCCCTGGCGCAGCAGCCCATGGTGGGCTCGCACCTGTTCCCGTAGCCGCTGGCCCATGCCCAGGGGGGTGCTCGCGGAGCTTGGTGAGCTGCGCCTCGAGCTCCTTGACCTTGGCCGCGAGCGACTGCTGCTTGGCCGAGACACTGGGCTGCGACGCCACTTTGTTCTCCTTGAAACAGTTGCTCTTGTGCAGGCCGCACTTCTTACAGTAGACAAGGGTAGAAGCATTGAACCACGGTTGATTCGTGACGTCGTGCCTGCGCCACTTGCAGTACCATGGCGAAGCGTTGTCCTTGCGCGTCGGGGCCATCGTGGCGCCGATGCCTCAGGGACGGGCGGCGAGCGCCACGGGCCAGAGGGCAGCCTGGCCGTGGCGGCAAAACTGATGAGGGAGCCCAACTCCTCGGTGTAGGCGAAAAGCTGTCGAGCGCAAGCGCTCTGGCACTGCCGCGGACTAGCGGTATCCGTGAATGCCAATACGGGCTCCGTCCGCAAAAGCATGAGCCTTGAGCCAAAATGGCTACGGACGCAGGGGTTGCGAGGTGGAGAAGGGGAGGCAGGGGGAGGGCGAGGGGGACGAGGCGGGGGTGGGCGGGGGTGGAAGGGGGGCAGGAAGAACGAAGAGGGAGGTGGAAGTGGGAGAGGGGGAGGATAAAGGAGGAGAAGAGGAGGATATATCAGGATGGCGATGGTGACAGAGATGTTGATCGTATGAAAGATGCTGCTGGCGATGGTGGTGGTGATGATAATGACGGTGCTGATTGCTGGTGACGGTGATCATGCCGATGCTTGCGATAGTGGTCGCGATTGTCATGATGCCGATGCTGATGATTGCGATGGTGATGTTGACCACGACGATGACGATGATGGTTAGGACGATGAGAGCGAGAGTTAGGTTGATTACCATCTCCCCCGCAGTTATGGATAAGGGAGAACGGGCTGGGGGCCGTGGGTAGTCTGCAGGGGTCGAAAACACACATTTGAATAAGCCCGCCGCCATCACCAAGCAACAACAGCATGCTCATCCCCATCAGAGTGAAGGGGCGAATTTGTCCAACACAGCCTCTGGGTGCGTGGCTGAAGTGGGGTACCGCGGTACGAAGTATTGTTGTAGTGTTGTGATGGTGATGATGATGACGACGCCGATGGCGATGACGATGACGATGATTGTGATGATGATGCTGACGTCGACGATGATGCTGCTGACGATGATGATGCTGCTGATGATGATGATGATTATGATGATGATGCTGATGATGATGACGACGATGATGATGCTAAGGATGACGATGATGGTGGTGATGTTGATGCTGATGCCGATGACGATGACGATGACGATGACGATGACGGTGCTGACGATGATGATGGTGATGATGACGATGCCGATGACGATGACGATGACGATGACGGTGCTGATTATGATTATGATGGTGGTGGTGGTGGTGGTGCTGACGATGATGGTGATACTGATTATACTGGTTATGATGATGAAGAAGAATGTGGTTATTGATGGTGGTGGTGATGATGCTAATGATGCGAATGATGATGATGCTGATGCTGATGCTGATGCTGATGCTGCTGCTGCTGATGATGATGATGATGATGATGCTGATGCTGATGACGATGACGACGATGAGGATGAGGATGATGATGATGATGATGATGATGACGATGATGATGATTATGATGATGCTGATGATGATGATGTTGATGATGATGATGGTGATGATGATGCTGATGCTGCTGCTGCTGCTGATGATGATGATGCTGATGCTGATGATGATGATGATGATGATGATGATGATGATGATGATGATGATGACGATGATGATGATGATGATGATGATGATGATGATGATGATGATGATGATGATGATGATGATGATGATGATGATGATAGGAGGGGGGTGGGACAATACGCTTCGGTCGTGAACCAGTATGTGGGAATCGCAAGAGCGCTAGACGCAGACGGGCGTGAGGAGCATATGGATGTATGGATCGAGGGAGATAGGGAGAAGGACGGGAGGAGGGGGATGAGAAGGAGGTCGAGGAGTGGGACTGGGTGGAATGATGGTGTGGGGATGAGAAGTAGAGGAACTAGAGGGGTGAATTGCGTGGGCAACGGGGAGGGGTAGGGCGAAGACAACAGGGAAGATGAAACGGGAGGCGGAGACGGGAGGACGGGGAGAAGGATCAGTACAAACATGCTGCTCGAGCCAGGCAGCGTTTACCGCCCATTCACCCCCTCCCTCTCATGATTTTGTAGCAATAGCTGGCACAATCCAGCACTTGACCATTTGCAAGAACCTGGCCCGTTTGTATCCAACCTGACCTTGACCGCGAAGCGAACCTGACGTGGGACGGAATTGCCCGAGCGGGGGAAGGAGTCCACCGCGTCCCAAATCCGAATTCGTCTCGGCGCGCCAGTTGAGATTCGACGACTGTTCGACGTTCACCCTGCATGGGAAGTCACGCTGGGCGGCGTGGATATTGGCAAGACGCGGCCTGAGTGATTCGCGAACTCACAGTCCAAATCAGTATGGGCATCGCCACAGGCACGCTCGCTTGCTTGTGCGCTTAGCGCGTTGCCTCTTCGATGCCTCATCTGACTTTGGGGTTGGCGGGCAAGCAGCATGCACCGCGCCCAGGTGGGAGCGCGGCCGTCTCGAAAGCTCTGCGTGTCCGTGAGGCGACAACAGCTCAGGAGGGGAACAAAAACACACAGACACAATTCATCGTCGACCCCCAGGGAAATATGGGAAACTATGGGAAGTAGGGGGAAAGACGCAAGCCTTACACATGTAGGAACATCTGCTAAATCTTGGGACTTGTGCGTGCTAATTTGTGTGTCCCTGGGCCCCCCTGGCCAGCGCACCGCTGCCTCCCGCGCGGCCCCGCTCGTGCTGACGGTGGCTTCGCTGGCAGGGCCCGTTGGACCTCGGCAGGGCCCGCGGTTTCGCCCGCGGCAAGGCGGCCTCTGCGGGCGTGCGGGCTGGAGGTCGGGGGCCCCGCCGCTCGTGGCGTTTCGCCAGGGGGGTGGCGGCTTGGCATCGCTCGGACGTGTGCGTGGTTCCCGGCGGGGACAATCGAGGAGCATCTGGGATCATCTTCCGAAAAAAAATGAAGAAGATACATGCTCGAAATTGTTACTTGCACGGGGGATGGACGTCCGAGCGATGGCGAGGCTGGACCTTGAGGCGACAGCGCCGACAACCTCATTGCTTCGTATGCGCGCCGCGACGATGTGGACGGCCTCGTTCCGCTATCGTCGCGGCGATCTGCTCGCCTCACGATGGGGCGCTCTTGATGGATGCTGCTGGTTGTCCGGAGTCTTGCTCCGTCCAGCATGGAGCTGCTACTCTGGCGTGGCACCTGTCATAGGCGAAATGGCTCCTAGAGGCTCGCAGCGTGCACTACGCCTCGCTCAGCTTCCAGCTCATCTTTAGCCAGTGGTGCTTCCTTTTCTGGTGGCGGCAGGCGCCAGGCTCCACTTTGCCAGCTCGGCCATGAATCTCGAGGCATCGGTCGGACTGTGAGCACACCAGCGGGGGGCGGAAGATGGGCCCGGCTCTCTGGCATTGCGACGCGATGCGCGACAGGGTCGTGGCGGTGCTCGAGGCGACAGTCGCGTCCCCCGGGGATTGCAGCTGTGTGCTCGAATCCTCTCTGGCAGGAGTGCCCATGGCGCCATCGCAGGTACACTCTCCGCCATGCGTGGCGCTGCTTGGTGCGATTCACCTCCTTAGGCGATCTTTTCGGGCTCATGCTTGCCGCTCGATGTGTGGATATTCCTGGTGTTTTGCTGGCGCGCGAGAGAGTGAAGCAGCGCTGTCGGCTCATGTGGCAAAACCGCCCATGAAGACCTGAAGACCCCCGATGTCCGCGACGGCGCGGGAAGCAGTGAGGGCTTGAACAGCATGTGTGATCGTACGCCGTACGCCGATGAAGACTCTGCCGAACGCGGCGGGTACCTGCCGTCTTTCTATCAAGCGATACTCCTGCATTTGTACGTTGGGCGGATCAGATCAGCAGGTCTCGTGCAGGTGCTTTCAGTGCCAGTCGTACTTGGCCATGTCTTTTCGAGGGAAACATTCAACTCCTCCATATCCTCATCGCTCTCACCCTGCTGCTGCCCCGCCTGTTCCTGCTGCCGCTTCTGCTGCTGCTCATTCTCTTCCTCCGCCGTCCTTTTCCACCGCGTCCTCGTTGGCAGGCCTGCGGAAGCCAATGGAAATTTGAGCGAGGTCTGGGAGGAAAGAGCCGAATGGCTTTTACAGAGGGTCGTGTAAAGGTGGGAAGGGACGCCCGCCAAGCTGCAGAGTACACGATCCCTCTCCGAGTCTCCTGCTCGATGAGTTTCTGAAGAAACGTGAGGTCGCAATGGTTGGTATTGGGGCTCCCTGTGCGGGCTGACCGGCGCTCAGGTGGCGCGCCATCGCACGGAGTTGGCCGACGAGCGGGCCGAGAAGGAGTCGCTGCGCTCGCAGCTGCGGGAGGCCCAGGATAGCGCGCAGGGTGCGTCCCTGCCAGCATCACAATCAGCACAGAGCAGGGACCATGAGCGTGCTCGTACGTTGTCGTCGAGGGGCTGGCTGTGGGCGCGGGCAGGGGGGGAAGCATGATGCGCTTGGGCCGCCAGGCGTGAGGGATAGCCTTTCCTCCACCTCCACCTCCACCTGCACCTCCCTGCCTCACCTCCAGCTCCATCCTCCACCTCCACTTCCACCTCCACCTGTATCTCTTTTCTATCTCCCTCTTCCGCTTTCTCCTCCTCCTCCTCCTTCTCCTCCTCCTCCTCCTTCTCCTCCTCCTCCTCCTCCTCCTCCTCCCTTTTCACCTCCGCTTCCTCCTTGCCCGTCCACGCCCCCGTTCGCGAACCTGTCCCTGTACTCATCCCCATCCCCTGTTGCGCAACGGATGCCTGCCTGCTCCCGCTGCTGCTGCTGCTGCTGCTGCTGCTGCTGCTGCTGCTGCGTCTCCTCCCGCTCCTCCCGCTCGCTTGCCCCACGAGACGACGAGCGCGTGCCGAAGGACCGTGCCGGCGCCTCCGAGCGCGAGCTGGCCGGGGTCCGCAGGGAGCTGGCCTCCGCGCGCAGCTGGGAGCAGGAGGGCCGCATGGCCGACCTCGACCGCGAGCTGGCGGCCGTGCGCGCGGAGCTGGCCGCCGCCCGCGCCGCGGCCGGGGCGGCCGTGCGCGCCCACCAGCCTCCGGCGAACGGAGGCGCCCGCACGCCGCCGCCGCCGGCCACGAGGGTGGGCGCGCCGGCCGTGCCCTCGGCGCTGTATCCGCAGCGGGCCGCCGGGGACGCCGGCAGCCCCCTGCGGCAGAGGGGCGACGGCTCGCCCCAGCCCAGCGGCGGGCTCTCCCCGGAGGTGCCCCGCCCGCCTCGGGCGCGGTGGGCTGGGGACCCGCTGGACCCGTGCGCGAGCCCCGGGGGCCCGAGGCGAGCGCTGGTGGTCGGCTGCGACTACCCGGGCAAGGTGGGCGCGCTGCGGGCGGGCGTTGCGGACGCCCAGCAGTGGGCCCGCTTCTTCAGCAAGCGCTGTGGGCTCCCCGAGCACGGCATCCGGATGCTGTCCGACGACCCCTCGCAGTAGACGGATGGCCTTCGGCCCTTTTCCGCCACCGTGCCTGGGTTGTGGGCCATAGGCCCCTCGGACGTTCGTTGGGATGTCGCGGGAGGCCTGGGGGCCGTTGTCAAGCCTTTTGAGGGCCGTTTTGGGACCTCTTGGGGCGTCTTGGGGGCCTCTTAGGGGCCTCTTGGGGCCTCTTGGGGGCCTCTTGGGGGCCTCTTAGGGCGGAAGGCTCAACTTTTCGGTTCGTGCTCCCCCTCTTGGGCCCTTCTTGGGGCTGTCTTTGGGCCCTCTGGGGATCCTCTTGGGGGCCTGTCAGCGCGGTTTTGGGGACCTCCTGGGCCGTCTTGGAGCGTCGGAAGCTCGGAAAGTCGAGGACCTCGAATTTTTGAAAACCTGATTAAAAACAGTGATTTAGGTCTCTCGGGGCCCTCTTGGGAAGGCTCATAGGAGCGCCTCGAAGGCTTCTTGTGCCGTCTTGGGGCCATCTTGGGCGTCTTGGACCGATCGTGCGGCGCTTCGGGGCCCTCTTGGACCGTCTGGGCGGCCTCTTGGGGCTCTCTTGGCCTGTCTTGGGGCCCACTTGGGCCCGAAAAGGTCATGTGACAAGCCGCGATGGGCCCCTGAGGGCACGCCGGGAGCCCCATCTGGGCCCTTACAAGAGTCTTCAGGATTGAGGATTGAGGCTTCAGGGATTAGGGCATGGCACGCCGACAGAGGCAAGGCCATGGGCTACGGCCCTGCACGCCCACCTTTTTCACCCTCCACCTGAGGGCATTCCAAGTCGTGCCTCAGGGCACGGTGGCGGACCAGCAGCAGCCCCGCCCAGACTGCATCCTGTCTACGCATGACAACGTGCTGCGGGGGCTCCACTGGCTCACCGCCCAGAGCGCCCCCGGCGACCAGCTGTTCTTCGTCTTCTGCGGGCACGGGGCGCAGCTTCTGTCCGCCGATGTCGGCGGCGCCGCTACCTCGCCTGGGGCGCACTCGCGGCGGTCCTGCGAGTGCGCGCTGCTGCCCACCGACGCGGTGGACGGCGGCGAGCGACCTCGCGTGGTGGCCGACACGGACGTGCATCGGGCGCTTCTGGCGCTGCCTCACGGTGTGCACGCCACGCTCGTGTACGACAGCTGTCACGCTGGGCGGCCGCTTGACCGGTCTGGCTGGAACTTCCTCGAGGACTACGTGAGCCGCGGGCGAGTGGATCATGACAAGCTGCGGGGGCACCCCGTGTTGCCCCGCTTCCTGGAGCTGCCGCAGTGGCAGCCGCGCCCGCCGCCGGCCGACGGCGGCAGGGAGTCGCAGCTGCGCTGCCAGGCGGCGCAGTGGTCCGCCTGCGCCAACGACCAGTTCTGCGTGGAGCTGCCCGTGGACGAGCGCCCGCGAGGTGTGTTCACCTACATCCTGATCAGCGCGCTGCTCAAGGCGGGTCCGCGGGCGCCAGGCCGACAGCTGCTGCGAGAGGCCCGGGATCTGACCGCACAGCTGAAGGCTCGCTGGAGGCTGCAGCAGGACCCGCAGCTGGTGCACAGCCAGTCCTCCTCGGACGCTCAGCCCTTCCTGAGCTGATCCCGCCCTCGCGCAGGTGGCGCGCAAGTGCCGATGCGGAGATGGCGAGCGGGAGAAAAGGGACGAGAAGAGATGGGAGACGCTGAACGAGGTGGGGGAGGGGGAAGAGGGGGGATGATGAGATGGAAGATGAGGTGGTGGAGGAGGACGAAGGTATGGAGAAGGAGGAGGAGGAGGAGGAAATGAAGGAGGAAGGGGAGGAAGAGGAGGAGCAGTAGGAGGAGGATGAGGATCATGAGGAGGAGGAGGAGGAGGAGGAGGAGGGAGAAAAGGAGCGAGGAGGAAGAGGAGACCATGGGGGAGGAGCACTATGAGTGGGAGGGGTCATGATTGAAGAGCAGATCGAGGAGGAGGAGTAGGCGGAGGAAGGCGACATTGCTGGTTTCAGCGCGATGCTGTTTCCATACTGACCCATTCCAATGTCTGTCATTCATCATGGTTGTCGTCATCCTTCTTCTTGCACCGTGCGCTGTCTGCTTTTGTTGGCATGCGGTGCGCTACTCGAGCCTGATGTTCAAAGCACGAACGATCGAGATGAGGATGGTGATGATAATATTGATGGACATGGTGATTTGATGATAACCGTGATGGTGATGATGGTGGTCATGAGGAGGATGAGGAAGAGAAGGAGGAGAGGACGATGGATATGATGGATGAGGAGGCGAGTCAGTAGTAGTAGTAGTAGTAGTAGTAGTAGCAGCAGCAGTAGTAGTAGTAGTCGTAGTAGTAGTAGTAGTAGTAGTAGTAGTAGTAGTAGTAGTAGTAGTAGTAGTAGTAGTAGTAGTAGTAGTAGTAGTAGTAGTAGTAGTAGTAGTAGTAGTAGTAGTAGTAGTAGTAGTAGTAGTAGTAGTAGTAGTAGTATTAGTAGTAGTAGTAGTAGTAGTAGTAGTAGTAGTAGTAGTAATAGTAGCAGTAGTAGTAGTAGTA